TTTGGTGGCAGGGACCAAGCTGGTTAGCAAAACCACAGGACTGGCCGCCAGACCTTGTAACGACATCTACTCAAGAATCAAAAGCGGAAGAAGCGAAACAAACTCGCGAGTTGTTTGCTCTAGCAGTAGAGAAAACAGAGAACAACGACGCCTTCGATGCGCTGCTGGAGAAGTACGAGCTGTGGCGTGTGTTGCGAGTGGGTGCTTGGATCTGGAGATTCCTCCACAACATAAGAACCGTCCGTAAACAGAGAATCGTTGGTCCCCTTACCACTGAAGAAATACAGAAACAGACAACGTTCTGGATCAAGCGATCTCAACAACAAGCAAAGTCGAGCCAGAAATTTGAAGAAGACCGTTTACAGTTGAACGTGCAAGGAAACCAAGAGGGAATATTAGAGTGTAGGGGAAGAATTCAAGGCCATTACCCCATCTTTCTGCCAGACTCCTCGCCCTTCACTCGCAAGTTAGTTCACCGATCACATGTCGACACACTGCACGGAGGAGTGGCCCTTACCATGACCAAAGTGCGAGAGCTATACTGGGTACCGCGTTTAAGGGCACACGTAAAACAAGTTCTCAGAGCGTGTTCAGGCTGCAAGCGTTTTCAGGCCATGGCACTAGCAACGCCACCTCCCGGACTCCTACCCACTGACCGCACAGAGGGGAGCACCCCATTTGAGGTTATCGGAGTCGATTTTGCAGGGCCCATCAAATACCGTATCAGAGCCAAAACAGAAGGAAAGGCCTATCTTGCATTGTACGCGTGCAGTCTTACCCGAGGATTATTCCTGGAAGTACTACCAAACCTGGCAACCAGTGAATTCCTAAGAAGTCTAAAACGGCTCATCGCGCGCCGTGGGCGTCCGAAGAAGATATATTCCGACAATGGCAAAACCTTTGTTGGCGCCGAGAAGTGGCTCAAACAAGTTATGCGTGACGAGAAGACACAAGATTACTTAGCACATGAGAACATCAAGTGGCAATTCAACCCCAGCCGCGCCGCTTGGTGGGGAGGACAGTTCGAGCGCCTCATCGCACTGGTAAAAACAGCTTTAAACAAGACTATCGGATGCGGAATGTTGACCTGGACAGAGCTGTGTGAAGTGGTACTGGATGTGGAGATTGCTTTGAATAATCGCCCTTTATGTTACGTCGAAGACGACATACAGTTACCCGTGCTTACCCCTAACTCTCTGCTATTTCTTCGATCAAACCAGCTGCCAGAACTGGAACCACACCATCTAAGAGAATTTGATCTGCGTAGAAGAGCTAAATATTTGCGAAGGTGCAAGCAGGCTTTGTGGACCAGGTGGACTACCGAATATTTACGAGGGTTGAGGGAACGACACCGGATGAAACACAAGGGTCAAACCACGCCCTTGGCCAAAGGAGAGGTAGTCATCATCAAGAACGAGGAACGAAATCGCAATAAATGGAAAATTGGAATCGTGGAAGATCTGATTTCGGGACGAGACGGGATCGTTCGAGCTGCCAAACTTCGAGCGGGGAAAGGAACACTTGAACGGGCGGTACAACACCTTTACCCACTGGAGCTGTCCTGCGATCGGGAGAATGTACAGGCTCCTCTACAGCTCAACCCCTTAGCCCCGACATTCAGGCCCAGGAGGGATGCAGCGGTAGCCGCTCGTTATCGCATTCAAGATGCGAACATTGATGCCGATTAGAGATATTTAGGAACACTGAACTGATATACTGGACTAACTTTCTGTTTCGTTCATTGAATTTCAAATTTCATCGAGTGTGCCATTCTAGTGTTTTTCTCCGTTGAGAAAAACAGGGGAGTGTGTGAGAGATTATTCAGCGTTAATTGATTTCCGGTTGATTTTTTGCGATAAGTGACAGATGATTGAACAATAGGATCATATTATATATTTAAAATGAGAGAGACCAGAGCGAAGGACAGAGAACGGTGAGAGAGAGCGGGAGATTAAGTTGATTTTATAAAATAAAACGTGAAGTTTCGGAACATAGCAGATTCTTTAGTCTCATTTCCGACAACGCTCCAAAGTTTGTTTTGCAATGGTGGCCCAGTCTCTAGGCAGTCGTTGAGGGATGGTGCTTTCTCGTTCGCTCGGGCGGACGCAACGTAGACAATTCGAATCTTCGTGCTCTCTGTCGTCTCTCGAATCACGGCCTTGTGCGGGATGTAAAACTCCTTCCCTTCTGGTTCACTGTGCACTCGTTCGACTATTCCTTGAGATAACTGATCTTGAATGACCCCGTCATACTTCTGCAACATGCCTGGTTGTTTCTCTAGCTTTCTGACAAGGTTCTCTAGTCGTTTCAGGCTGCCATGTTTGTTATTAGGGAGGGGTGGATGATTTCCCTTCCAAAGGAGGCCTGTTTCGTACCATCCTTGCGGGTTTCTTGTTAGCTGCTCCTTGAATTCTTCGAATACGAGATCTTGGTCGCCAACTGGATGGTCTTGTAGACCAAGCACATCAAGTCTACACAAGGCTTCATAGTCAGCCGCAGAGGTTTGGGTCAGGAACATGTTTGCGAGGTCAGATTCACTTCCGGGTGACATGATAGTCCATCCTAATCTTGTTAATTCGGCAATGGGTTCTCCTGGTTTTCCGATCTTGGGTGTGGTCTCGGTCTTTATCTGCGCGTATTCGTTTGTTCCGAGGATAAGATGTACGGGAAGCTCCTCTTTCTCGTCTACGTCATCCATTGTGACTTCTTTCAGGTGATCGTATCTTTCCACCAACTCCTTGTACCGAGGGTTTTCCAAACTGAGTAGCGTTCCGCGGTCCACCTTAGTCACTTCGGTTCGAAGCTGAAATTCCCCCGTCAAACTGCTGATAACAACATTGTAAATTTCGATCTCTCTGTTGCTCGCTTGCATCATCATTTCGATGCGTTTGAACTCTCTTCGAACTGGCTGTTTCCCCATGCGATCGAGCAAGGCCGCAGATGCGTAGGAGCTCCCAGCACCAGTGTCTAACAGTGCGCGGCAATGGATTCCACCCACACTCACGATGACCACCGGATAAGTGACGGATCCTTTCCCAGTAGCTACCAACATAGGCTCCGGCGATTGTTGAGGTATCTTCTCGGGACAAATTGACGAGTGGTGTCTTCGGTTGCAAAACTTGCAGCACGCAGAACAGCGACACTCTGGGGCCTTGTGATTTGCGCCGGTGCAGTTGAAGCACAACTGTTTACGATTCAACTCCCTTCTGCGCTCTTGTAGTGTGGTCACTTTGTCGCAGTTGACGGACTGATGGTTTACACTTTCGCAGTAAACGCACGGCCTTCTTTTTTGGTTCCCCTTGGCGTGTTTGGTAACTTCTGTTCTTCGATAAAAAGGTTTCACAGGCTTGAACGGTGGCGGCTTGTCTTGGCTTTGTCTCTCTTCACTGTGTTTGGGCGGGTTTCTGATGGTCCACTTTCGTAATGCCTCAACAAGCTGCGGGAATCTCCATTCTTGCCAGTCATCATCGGTTCTCACCAAGTCTCCTCGAATTCCTTCTAGCTTGTTCAGTGTCATCCTTACGTAGTTATTCACCTCCCCGAGTTTGCCCATCGTTTCAAGTGCTTGAACATTTGAGCATAATTTTTCATAAAACTGCGACACCTTGTTTGGGTTTGCTCCATAAATCGAAGGAAGTGACATGATGCCGTCAACATAAGCATTTACGATTTCGCTTTCTTTCCCGAATTTTAACTTCAAAATATTCTTTGCTCGTTCGTAGCCTTCTGTGGTCAACGGGAGGCCATCTATGGACGGTCGAACTTGCGGCTCCAAAAGCTCCTTAAGATAGGAGAACTTCGTGATTTGTGAAATATCTGCTGCATCAATTTCCGCTGTGAATTGACCCCAGAACCGCATCCAGTCGGCGTGTGCTTTTAACTGAGTGATGACAAGTTTTGGCAACTTGGCGTTGATGTTTTGCTCATTTTTCTCTTCAATTTTCTTCTCGTATTTTTGCTTTTGCTCCAGCTTGGCTTTTTCGAACCGCATTTCCTCGTCGTACTTTTTCTCCCTGAGCTGTGCGTCATGCTCCTCCTTTTCTTTCTCTTCTGTTTGCGCTTCGACGCGTTTGCATTCCTTGATCGTCACGTCGAGCTGGTCGATTGTCGCCTCAAACACACTAACACGTTCTTCGATTTCTGTACTCTGTTTCACGATCTCGTGTTCTTCCTTTTCTGCCTCAAACATCAGTTCTTGTATTTCAGTTTTCAGATCGTGGACTTCTTCAACTTTCTTCTTTAAGGTGTTTTGTATTCTCGCCATTGATATGACCGCTTTATTTCCGAACGCGGTGATTGCCTGTCCTTGGGTTAGTTTAAGGGTCTGCAGCTTTGCGTTGATCGCTTTCGTAAGCTGATCGACTGTTTTCGCCATCTTCTGTTCGCTGGGTCCCGTCGGAGGTGCCACTTTTTTCGGGAACGGGTATCCGACAAATAAGTCACAGGTTTAAATCTCAAACTGGTTTACTGTTGTTTTCCCTGATTACAGATATCTTCGAATAAAGGGGTAAGTTTCTAAAGAAACTGTGGTGCTGCGTCGGTGGGAGAGTATAGCAGGTAATTTAGTGTTAACAACTGGGTTGAAAACGTAAATTAGCCACCGTAAAGGGTAAAAAAGCTGACGTTTCGAGCGTTAGCCCTTCGTCAGAGCGATAGCGACGAAGGGCTAACGCTCGAAACGTCAGCTTTTTTACCCTTTACGGTGACTAATTTACGTTTTCAACCCAGTTGTTAACACTAAATTACCTACAGATATCTTCGGTTCGCTATCTCGCTCTGTCTCTCTCTAAAACACACACCCCTTCAAGGCCGATCTTATTACACTATTTCGCAATCAAGTCTAATGTTCAAAGGAGCTTGTCTTTCACTTAATATTAATAATAGTAATGCTTTCTTGTCACGTTATGTCATGCTATGTTACGATTTCCGTCATACCAGTTGTTTGTCGCGTCATACAAACATTTACAGAATATGCGCAGACAAAGCTCAGCGATTTAAAACAACAATCCCTTTATACTTTAAGGATATTCGATGTCGATTACTGATCGAAGTACTTATGTGATTCCTAAATGACGAATAATGGGAATTGTACAACAAACTAAATACCTCGTTCTGAAAAACTTCCACATCAAAAAACGGAATAAGCGGGAAACTTTGCAAGAGATACTCATCCCAATTTGGTTCATTGTGACGTTAGCGATCGTAAAAGAAGGTTAATAACGGAGCTGAAACCAGCTGTAAGAGAAAATGAAATACCGACAGCGAAAATTTCCAGCATGGGACTGGCTGGATTACCGGGAATTGCGAGCTCCAAGCCAAATATCGGCTATGTCACCAACAATCTCGCAAATGCTGGTTCGGTTATGGAGATAGTTAGGAACACCTCAAAGGACAGTGCAAAATATGTTGAGTTTAACACTACAGACAGTTTGATAGCCTTTTACATGGAGCACACCAACCTTCTTGTGGGAATCGAATTTTGGAATGGCAAAGAGAAAGGACTTGCTTACACACTTCGCGTCCCGAGAGGTCGACTCCCCTTACCAAAGAACAGACTTGTCGGTGAGTACAGCTACACATACGTGCATTATGGAATCGCACCCATTGAAAAACGTCCCACGGGAAAATGCAAATAGGCTAGAAAAGAGAAAGAGAGCATGCGTAACTTCACGCAGGCCTGTCAATCCGACTGTCAATCATGTAATATCCCGTGTATGCCGTATTCACAAGTACTGTTTCTTGCTCAGACAACCGAAACGTAGTGCCATTCATCGAAGAAGAATAGACATAATTAGTAGCGTTATCTTGATTAGGCTATGTAGTTTAAATTAACTTTTAATGTCGGGTTTTTAATTGAAATGCGGCAGATTTACGAGGTTCGACCATCAATTTCACCATGAAAGCAAAATAACATTACATAAATATTCCTTTTTAGCCCGTTATTGCGTTCATTTTCCGGTAACACGTCGGTGAAGTCTATTTACTTTTTTCATCACTTTCAAACAATATTAATTGTTCCAATTGTATCTCCATTGTCTCTACATGGACACAAGTGAAATTTTACAACTCCCGTTTGGGAATTCGTTAATTCAGATCTTAAGAGACCAAAGCTGGCAACCTCCTTCCCAGGTCACTGTGCCTGCAAAGCATCATGGGTACCCCACTTTTCCTGGGTGATGCTTTTTAATGGGCATGATTCCATAATGGTATATGATCGAATGCATTGTTTACATTGATTATTTATGACATCAACTCCTTAGACGCAGAATATTCACGAGGTGTGTTTTTGAAACCAGTATGACAGGGTGTAACAATATTCAAAGCTGAAACCCAAGACCTGGAACATTGATCCTCCTAAAATGTGAAAGGTTGTTTGGTAGCACATCCCCATCCATAGTAGGGAAGGGTTGTACCCTCCTTCCCCTGAAATGTATCTAGACAAGCATACATCTCATGAGATTATTTTGATAAGATTTAAAAATGCGTAGTCTAAGACTGCATATAGCTGCACATTTTGCAGTGACCTTTACATTAAGTTGGTATTCAACCCGTTTAAAATTAAGAGTTGGTTTAGGGTCAAGGATTCTATCCCTGGGGGTTTACGATTGCAAATTATATATAACTTTTCATGTGCAAGCTGTAGTGCCTGTTATGTTGGTGAAACCAACAAACACACTGCCTCCAGCATCTGCAAACATTTCTCCTTTGACAAACATTCCCACATCTTTCAGCACCCAAGAGGTTCTAAAAATTGTTGCTCCCATTGTTCAGAAGATTGTTTTAAAATTCTGGACTCTGCTTCCACAAGCTTCCAATTGAAAATTGAGGAAGCCATGCTCATCCTTTGGGAGCAGCCATCTTTAAATTCCCAGGTCAAACATCTTATTTATCCCTTTCATACTAATTAGTCTCCCTTCTTAGCTTAAATAGTTTCACTTTTTTTTAAAATTATTCTTGTTAACGTCTCACTTTGTTTTACTGTTTATTGCATAATTTCATTTTGCTTCTCATTAAACAACTGATGATGGATGATGTTTCATCTGAAACATGTTTTGTTTTCATTGAAAAATGTAAGAAAAATGAACTTCAAAAGCATTGTGTGGTTCATCAAAGCAACATGTATTAATAATAATAATAATAATAATAATAATAATAATGAATATTTTCATATTTCATCAACATGTCATCTTTTTGCTATAGCATATTGACATGACAAACTGTTTACCTTACATGCAGTTAAATTTACATATACATCTAAAAACAGTTGGTTAATGCGCAAACACCCCAGTGGTCAGAAAAATGTGTTTCTAAAATAAGGAAGCTGATTTGTGTTTCTGGTAGATTTGTGAATATAAGGTCAATACATGTTTTGCTGTTAGTAGTAGCACTTGAAACTTTTTTGTTTATAATTACTCCTTGTAAATTTATCTTAAAGAGATACTCTTTTGAAGTCACCCATAAACAGACAAGCACTAGAGTGCGAAGATTACTGTTCAAAAGTTCTAAAAGTTTTAGGCACAAATGCTCTTGTGGTATTATAAGGGAGCAACATAATACAACGAGTGTAATACGAGGAAGGTTCAAGAACCTCATTACAATCAACTCAATACCATTTGTATTGTAGCAATAAGGATAACTTATCAATTCATCATGTGCATTGTCAACATGGATTTTTTGTGTGTTAATAATGTATTCTGTGTTTGAATTGTTCTCAAATTCATTGAAATCATTAGTGCTATTGCTAACACCACTTAAACTCCTTCCAGAAATAACTGGACATGTTAATACACTATGCGTTTGACCTTTATGTCCTATATATTCTAACCTTCAATTTGCTCTAGCATTTGCTGGTTCAACCAATGTAATTTCCATAAAATTCTCATCTGATTCTCCAACGTAAATCTTTAAATTCAAAGTATCAGCTACTGCTTGTGTTATCATGTTACCAGCCCATGTACCTTGCATAGACATATAAGATAAATATTGATATTGAATAGCTCAGAATCAATTTTATCAATACATAACAATGTAATATAATTAAGTCTAGAATATTGAGTCATAATGTTACATTCAGAATCAAGCTGATCAATCACATACAAATCATCATGGCTGTTCAAATTCACACATGGAAGGACAGCCATGACTGAACAAGCATTTTGGTTGCAAGGTATAAAATCACCACAAAGTGTCAAAAAACCTGAAAAACTTTTGATAAACTAACACTTTACAAACATTTAGAAAACTGTGCCTGGATACTGATAAGGAATAAGGAAAAATCATTGTAAAATAGAGACAAAAAAACCCTAAAATCCACTGAGTATCTCATAGTCACATGGAGAGAACACACATGGAATGTCTCAATCGATAGGAAGCTGTGCTTGGGTCACATTTTGAAGTGTTGGTTTTGCATATTAAATCCTGTTGGTATGATTGAGTTCTTGTTGAGATCTACCAATCAGTGAGGGAGTACAGATTGTGTGCCATTATTGTATGTAAACTTATGACAAGTCATTACATAGTGACCAACAACAGGCAAGCACAATTTTAGAGTGACAGCTGCACATGTGCGATTTTCTTCCAGCCAACCACAAAGTACTCCACATTTGTCAGTGAATTGTATTTGTAACTGGTGTGCTAAACGAGTGTAATTTTGTTTGGCACCAATCATACTGCTATTAATGCTATAAACATGGTATTTTAGAATGATTGCATGGTTACATAGGAATCCCAACCAGGAAACAGCAATAACCTCACAAACTTGAGGCAAGTATTCAGCTGGGCTTCCTGTGGAAAGTTAACAACTTACACAAGCACTTACAAGGCAATGACATGATGGCTATGCATTCCCAGAATGCAGTAGCCACAAAAATTATATAAACCTGATTTAATTTGTAGGGTTGGGTGGGGAAGGATATCATTCCTGTGTAGAGCAATGTTACTTCAAAACATATTCACACAACTATTCAATGTTTAATTATTTTCCTCCTTTCAGGTCTAGGTGAATGTCATGATGTCAACAGCTTGTTTTCAGGGGGCTGCCCTGCCAATTCTTATATTACAACAAAAATAGCAACCCTGCAAACAATAATTGATGCTGCTATTACAAAGGTAATTGCTGGTGAAATGTAATTTTTCTCAGGCAGACCCAGGATTTAGTGAGGGGAGTTGGGGAGGGGGGGGTGTTCAATAACTATCTACTGAAAAGAGGACAATCCTGAGGGAGGTCAGGAGGCATGCCCTTGCCAAGAATGTTGAATGAAATGTCTTGAAAAAAGTTATTTCCAGTGTTTTAAGGGAAAATTTGTAGAAAACAAAAGAAATAACAAATTTGCACATGTTAGATGATTTTCATTTTGACCAAACTGCCTGAATCACCTCTGGATCTGCCCCAGTTTTTTTTAGCTGGTATTTCAGTTCCTTAACAGTCAATAATCTTTCAACATGAGTGGGAAAATGGGATGATAAGTAGATTGATTTTAGACTGTAAAAATCTCTTGGTCTTTTATTTTTCTTAATTCATTACTTGTCTAAGTATTAGCCATGCACAGTGATTAAAGAAAATAAATTCTGGAAGGTATACAGGGTTCTTTTCAGACAAATTTTAATTTTAGTCCTCTGACTTGTAATTTGCTTTAAGTAATAGAGGTGATTTGATCTATGAAATTTTTTGTTGTTAAAGGTTGAAGGGAATTTACCTCACTTAAATGTCCCAGACATCAAGGCAAAGATGATGCCAAAGGCATCTTACAGGCAACCTGAAGAAGATTTTGCCTTCCTTATTTTGATTTTCATGGTCTTAGCCTTTGTACCTTACTTCCTTGTAGTCCTTGTCAATCTGAAAGAGAAGGAACTTAAACTGAAGGAATTGTTGAGGATTGTGGGTACTTCTGATATCGCATACTTATTGTCGTGGATTATTACATATGCAGTGATCATGCTAGTAGCCGTCCTCATTTTGAATGTGATCACAATATTGGGAAACATATTTTCCAATAGCAACTATATTGTGATGGTCATCATCTGCTACCTGTATGGCTTAAGCATCATCACAATGTCTTTAATGCTGACACCATTCTTCAAAAGTGTCACGATTGCTGGCCTTTTTGCATCTCTGGTGACAACAATTCTTGCCACAATTGCCAATCTCCTTGTCCTTTTTGAAGTGTCTAATGTGGTGAAGTGGTTATTGTCACTCTTTTCACCAACAGCATTTGTTTTTGCCTTGCATGAGGTAGGTTGATGTTATTTTCTTTCTCATTCATCACACCTTCATTATTTGCAAATTGAATGCATTTAAAGAACTATAAGGCTGTTAAAACTCACACATAGAATAGACATTCATTTGTCTGAAATTGAAGAAGTAAGTATAGATAAATGAAGACATTGGTTTGTCCACAGTTCCTTGAAAAATTGTTCCATATTAAAATTTTAGGCTGTTGCAGGGGAAGGTCTGAACTTTGACAACTGGTCCACCAAAGGGAGTTTTCCATCCATTTATCCCACTCTGATGCTGCTGGTGGACACTGTTTTGTATCTTTTGTTGGCTCTGTGCTTTGATGCAGTGATTCCTGGTAAGTGTGGTCAGTGTAGGCCCCCCTACTTCATCTTTACACCATCCTTTTGGAAAAGTATCTGTAGCAAAAAGGAACAAGGGACAGCACCTTCTGAACAGCTTTCCACAAGAGTGGAGGAGGTATCTGAAGATATTGAGGCCATGCCAGCAGATTTACAGGGGAATGAAGTAATAAGGTATTACAAACTGGTGTAATTTTAAGAGTGCTTGAATGAGAGAGAAAAACTGTCACTTGTGTTGATCTGCCAAATGAATTTTACTTTGTGGCTGTATTTTTGTTTCTGTTTTTTTTTTTTCTTCAGCATTCACAAATTAAGAAAAGTTTACCATGGGAAAGAAGAGGTTGTTGCAGTTGATGGTAAGAGCTATTAAACTTATCATCAGTCAGTTAGTCAGTGGGTGGTCAGTTGGTCAGTCAGTCAGTCAGTCACCAGTCAGTTAGTCAGTTAGTCACCAGTCAGTCAGTTGGTCAGTCATTCAATTAGTCAGTCATAAGATGGTCAGTCAGCTAAGCAGCATGGGAAGCAGTCATGTAGATAGACAGTTAATCAGTTAATCAGTCAAGAGTCAGCTTGTTATTCAACACAGTCAGTCAGTCAGTCAGTCAGTCCATCTGTCAGTAAGGCAAGTGAACATGAGGTAGTCAGTTCATCAGTCACATAAAGAGACAAGCATTAGGTCAGTCATTTTTCCAGTCAGCTAGTCAGCTGTTCACTCATATAGTTATAGTCAGTCATTTTAAAGCATGTAAACTTCTGACTAATGCACCGGTTCTCTCTTTTAAATTGAGCAGACAGAACTTTCTTCTATCTTTGAAGATTAAGTCCTCGTGTAGAGATCCTGGCCTTGATGATAACTTTTTGTGTCACACCTTTAGGGGTCAGCATGGATATATATGAAGGTCATGTGACAGCGCTGTTGGGTCACAATGGAGCAGGTAAAACAACTCTAATAGCCATGATGACTGGAATGGTTCCTGCTACTGAGGGTTATGCTACTGTCTCACGGAAAGGACATCACCGACCCCAGTCAGATGCAGGAAATAAGAAAAGGCATTGGTGAGAATGCAAATTAAGTGTAATTTTCCTTTCTGCCATCAGTCCTCATTGATAACCCAGCTCAATGTCAATATATGAGCAACTTCCCACCAACCCATCCCCTAACCTAACAACACTCAACTGATAACAAGTAGGGGTTGAATTAAAGGAGGGGTAAACCCTACCTATTAGTGTGATATACTCCACAAATTTACTGCAATTTCCTTTGTTAGTAATCTTGGTTATGACCATGTCTTATGGATGGATGGATGGATGCCTCTATTTAAAAATAAAAATAAACCTCAGGGTAGCCCCATCAGAAGCCCTAAAAGAGCCACCTGCTATCAATGGGAGCTCTGAGTATAAACTAAATAAAATATATTACAATTTCATGTGAAATACAAACACGAAGATATAAAACACATTTATTAGGCTTTAGATTTCTAAATTTAAAATTATGTGTATAAAAATTACTATTTATCAGTGTGGTGGTTTACAATCCTTTATATATAACTAATTTTTCATGTTATTTGCTTTTGTTTTATGCAAGGTGTATGTCAGCAGCAGAATGTACTCTTTGACTTTTTGACAGTGAAAGAACATTTAGAGCTCTACTCTGGCTTGAAAGAAGTGCCAGTGGAGCAGAGAGATGTCATGGTAAAGTTGCTAGTTGCTTGTAACAAATCTCTATTGCATGTTAACATCTTTGCCACTTGCATAGGTTAATGACAAGCCAGTACATGGTCTACAATGTTACCTCAGGCCTTTTCTTTAGAATGGAACCTGCACCTGCTACAGGCCAATTTTGGAGTAATGACACCTTTTGAATACCCATGTGATTCTTCATGATACTGCCAAAATAGTGGTTCATCTAACTTGCAGAGAGAATGAATTAAAATTGCTTCCTTTGAAAAGGAAAAAGAAAGAAATCATAAGACACCCTAATTTTCTCTGAGAAAAAGATGATTTGCTTTTATTTGAATCAGCTTTGGCTGTAGATGAAAAGCCATGATTTTTCTTATAACCTGTGTGCCTGCAAATCATGTGAATTAAATGGTGCATTTTAAGGATGCAGAGTGGAATTCAGGGAAACGACATGAGGTAACACACTTTTTTTCAAGGTGAGTTCATTGTTGATGGAAATTGACTTGGCAGACCAAAGGGACACTTTGTCAAAAGATTTGAGTGGAGGCCAGAAGAGGAAATTAAGTGTTGGCATAGCACTCATTGGGGATCCAAAGGTATATACCTGTATTTGTTAACTTGTAAGTGTTATGAGAAAATTAAAACCAAATGTCATTTAATTTCTACAACCCAACCCCTGTTGACCTTTTCATTGGATGAAAATCACAGTTTCAACTTTCTTTCCTAGCTGTCTGCCTTATGTTTCTGATCATTTTAGTCCCATGTATTTAGTGTTTAACTTAAATTCAAACAACATGTTGACAGTAGCTTTTATTTTTCTTCCTTGTCCTTACCTTCTGCTTGGAAATATAGTGATTTTGTTTCAAGAAATTTTGTCTCCATCTCTCCTGAGAGTGAAAGGTGAACCCCTTTGTACAAGAAATTTTAACCCCCAAAGGGAGAAAGGCAACTTCAGAGTTACTGGTGGTGGTAACCTGAAGAGCCTTCAACTCAGTAACCCTTGTGGGTCCAGGCTTGAAATTAGAGTTCTTGGCCAAGAGTCAAGTGCACCAGTGTTAGTAACTTGTTCAACTTAGTTTCCCAGTTAATGATCAAAAGGATTTAATAATTGTGTTCAAATTAAAGGTGATCATTTTAGATGAACCAACAAGTGGAATGGATCCATATGCACGACGACTCATATGGTCCTTGTTGAAAGAGAAGTGTAAAAACCGAGTGGTTCTCCTTACAACACATTTTATGGACGAGGCTGACATTTTAGCAGGTAAATAAATGATATGATTATCAACTGATTTCTGACTGTAACTAGTAACTAATTTGTGTTTCATATCTCTGCTCTGATTGGCTGTTAATTGGTTACTTTGGGCTTTTTTCACTGAACACTCTTCAGCTTTCACAAAGCCCTCCCTCTTTTTCATATCATAATGGTTCCCTACAGGATCACAAATTGTTTAAAATGTGGGGATGAAAATTTCTTGTGAATTTTTAAATCAGGATGGTATTGTCTATTGAATGGTTATGTTTCTATACTCCCAGATTACAAGGTTATTTTATCCAAAGGAAGAGTGCGCTGTTCAGGAAGCTCGCTTTTTCTCAAGAATCGCTTCGGAATTGGATATCATTTGAAGTAAGTATTGGCCAGAAGTTTATATCATAATTTCTTTCAGCCTGTAGTTTTTTAACCATTTTACTCCCAAGATCTCATTTTCAGTAATTCTCCTTACTGTCCTACAGTGTTTGTTTTGGAGTATTTGGTAAATTCTTCCTTAATTTATATTTCTCTTTATTCTTGTCACTTGTTTTCTTGATATTGTTAGGGGCAATTCTGTCTCAGTCACTCTTGGGAGTTATAGGTTTAAGTCAATTTGGACTTGGTCTTTCATATTTTCCTGCACTTTATGTGGTTTGCTAGTTTTTACTTTGAGTTCTTTTTGACCCTTGATATATTCTTTTTTTCTGATTGACTGTCATGTTACTTTTACTCGACTGGTTTTTTTTTTATGGCAATTGCAAGGCACTCTTCAATTAACAATATTTTTTTCCCTTCAGTATGGCTCTAGCAGAGAATTGTAATACTCAGCCATTAATTGAGCTTGTTCAAAGCAAAGTGGAAGGTGCAGAAGCTATCCGTCACCATGGCAAAGAAATGGCATTTTCCCTTCCTGTGGAACAAGTATCATGTTTTCCAGGTAAATTTAATGAACAATTAACTGCCTTGTAAAATGGCCAACTACAAGTTACCTTGGTGGTATTTTTCTTGTAATAAACATAATGAATTGACTTAACTCAGCTGTGAATTAATTTTCCTCCCATGTTTACTTTGAGATGAACCAGTTGTTAACCCTTAACACCCTGACATCAGTATGCATAATCTCCACACTGTTTTCCATACTTTTCCTAAGGTGCTGACAAGGAGCATTTGTGTAACAATCAAGACGTTCTTTAGTTGGTGATCATTTCCTTTGTTCTCATGACCTTTATGCATTTTTGGTGTTGATATTATAAGGAGAAATTAGATGCTAGTCACTCCAAGGGGTCAAAAGGTTAACAGACACTTCTATCAGGCAATTACCAGCACCAAAATTAATCACTATCAATAATTGTAACCAGAAAGCTGTCTGATCACGTAATCTGATCATCTAGGTGATGGTAGCTCAGACAAGAATTTTTGTTGATTTATTGGCCACTGATGTTTTGACAACTTTAGCAGGAGTCACAATCAGAGTGAAGTGAAAAGGTGTTTCAGTAGTAAGTGTTTTAACCCTTCAATCCCTGATAGTGGCTAGCACCTAATTTCTCCTCCTGATATCACCCATGAATCAAACATTTAGGTCATGAGAATATAGAAAATAATAATCAAATGAAGAAGCTTTTGATTGTTAAACAAATTCTCCTTGCCAGCACATCAGGGAATGTATGGAGAACAGTATGGAGAATATGCATACTGATGTTTTGGTGTAAAGGGTTAACTACAGTTTGTTTAAACTAATTGGTCAGTTTGTCTGCAATGATGTTGACTGTAATACTCATTCAAGTGGTGTATATTTGTCATGATCATCCTTAGGGATGTCTGCCTATGAAAAATTTTTCTCTAAGGACATCTCCTATTAATATATAATCACTCAATTTTCAAGTACATACATTTCAGATCTATTCAAGGCACTTGAGGACAACAATGACAGTTCAGAAGGCTGTGCCGCCCCCTTATTAGGCGTGACAAGTTATGGTGTTTCCATGACAACTCTAGAAGAAGTATTTCTTCAACTAGAGGGCACCTCTGAAGAGAGTAAAATATCAACTGATGATGCACAAGAAACAGTACGAAATCCTTGAGTTTAAAATTGGAAATTAATACTCTAACAATGGGGTGGGGCATGCTGATATGATTAGCTAGTAATTTAGGATTATCAACTAAATTGATAATGGTGCCACAGCGATATGCTTTAGAAAATGGAATTTAATTGAGTGTACCACCATATTTGTGCTATTGTAACTGAAAATTATCTGCCTTTACCTTAAAGTAACCCCATTTGATGTCCTTTCTTTTCTATCTCTTTATGCAAGTTTGAGCAAAGTGATGCAAATCTGTTGGCACCTTCAGATGCCATGAACATTGAAGACAGAGGCTGTAGAATTTCTGGGTTTGTTGATGCCCCAAATAACACAGGGTGGAACTGAATAATCCAGAACTGATGGCTGATTCACAGAAATCAGTCTGGAAGGCAAAACAACAAGTCTTAGGATTAATGCGGGTATGTTACTTCTCAAGACAAATTAGAGCAGATTTCCATTATATTGGATGTTGTAAAAGTAAAACTTTTTTTGTCTGGATTTGCATTTATACCATGGCTGAAATTAATGAGCTTTACTTTTCTGTTTCTTTTCAGATTCACTGGTTAATGTTAATCCGTTCACCAGCCACGTCATTTTTCAAAATTATTATTCTGCTATTTTTCATATTTGCTGGTCTTTCACTTTTACGTGTAGCCAAGAATGACAGCCAATCAGCAATTGGTTTGAAACTGACACCTAAGATGTATCTGAAACCTGGAAGTAAAAAGGGTTATGCCTCCTTTGCTCTTCTCCAGAATTCAACCAAAGAGGCCATGGACCATGTTATGAAATACCTGAGTGATTATAGTGTTGGCACCTTGTTGGTGTCCTCTATGAGTAGCATATTGAGCAACTCATCAAGTGATCTGTACAATCTGGGATTTGACATTCTCAAGTTTCCTGCAGACAATTTGTCGTCGTCCAGCGTAAGTAATAGTATTTTTGCCTGAATTAAAATACGACAAGAGCATTAGTTGTTTATTTCCCCCACTTTTCTCTTTATGTTTGCTATCAATGGTACTGACAAGGAGATTTTGTTTGACAATTGGAAACATCTTAAATTGGTGATTATTTCCTTTAGCCTCATGACCTTTGCATTTGATTCAAGGGTAATACTGTAGAGAGAAATTAGAAGCCTTTCATTCTTAAGAGGTTGAAATTAAGGGTCAAAGAGAAAGTTTCTGTCAGGCTCTTTTCAGTGTGTCACTCAACACAAATGTACACTGTGAGACAAGTTAGCATTGCCTTTTAGGATCTTTCATCAAGCTTTGAGATGCGATACAACGACACAGCTGTACATAGTGTACCTGTTGGCATCAACATATTGGGATCTATCTTGCACATGAGTGCTCTAAAAAAACAAAAAAAAGCACCTTATCCACTGGAGTCAACCATTCTTGCCTTCCCTGACGTAAAACCTCAGTGGACTTTCAACATTGTAGTACTTTCGTCATTCCTTCTCATTGGAAAAGCTTTCGGCACTATTCTAGGTGACCTTGGAGTTCTGATTGTAGCAGAACGGCAGGTGAGAATAAAGAAATGGATGAAGGTTTCTGTGTGTTTGGCTCTTTGTGATAAAGCCGTTTTTGAATGATTGTCGCCAGACAAAACCAAGGCTATTTTATCAGCCAATCAAAACAAGGATAAATATCACAAGTATTCATTAGATTTTAAAGTAAAAACCTTTAAAGCCAGTGTGAATCATAAGAAAATTCAGCAAACAATTGGAAAGTTAGTATTACAAGTTATTTTGGTTTTGCATTTGATTTCTGAAAAGGTGACAACAGTATTCTAGACCAGTCATAGAAGATAGTAAACTAAAAAACCAATGTCATTCCAAGTTGCTTTTATTTGCTCTCTGTGGAAAATTCTGGTACTCATCTGTGGTGTGATTAATAGTTATTCTAAAGGTTGAATAAATTTGAGGAAAAAGAAAATTTCACCACACAGAGAGTTTGAAAAGATTCCAATTCAAAGATAGGCCTATTGTCACCTTTTTAATCACAACACTTACAGTGTGGTAAAAACTCAATGTTACTTCTATCACAGATGAAGATGCGCCATTTACTGAGGGTGTCTGGAGTATCATCCTTTGTGTATTGGCTGGAGCGTCTTATCTCTGATGGCATTGTAGCATCGATTCCAGTGATACTGTTGTTGACACTTATACCAGTCTTACAGCCGCCCTCACTGTCTCCTCCCCCTGCTATGCACTGTGTAATGATTGCAACCCTTCTGTACATACCTGCTGGGATATTGTTTTCGTATCTCATGTCCTTTATGTGCAATTCAAGGGATTTCTCCAAGCAAGTTTTGCCAAGTGTGTTCGACGTTGTAAGTATGATGATAATTAATGGTCATTCATTGTAAAGCCCCATTCAAATATGGCCATGAAAGTTAATGATAGTTGATGATGGTTTCAACATTTGTTCACTATCATTGTCTGTCATGTTTGTATTTCAAATGGTTCATTGTTAAAGTTGATAATGGTTAAAAAATCATGTAATGAGATTGCACAATTGTAAATAAGTATAGCATGCACTAAGGTCAGCAATTTTGGCAGCATTTGAAATTTTAGTCAAGAAGTAGCAAGTTGAAGATACTAAAGCCTATCAGGAGATGAATAGAATGAGTAGCAAGATATTCTGCAAAATTTTGATGGCACTTTAGTCATTTTACCATTTGCCATTTTGGTTTGAGCTGGCTTAATTTTGGCAAAACTATGGACCAAAAAGCTATCGTTCACTATCATCTGCTGGTTCAAACAGCTAAAACTATCATCAGTTATCATGTTGAATTTGAAAATGTCCAAACTAAATAATAGTTGATGATAGCTGATGATAGTGCATGATAGTTGAAACTATCATCAACTATCAGGACTGTTTCATCTGGGCTTATAAGGATGGCTTTGCAAGCAGGCACCATGGAGCAAATCATGTGTTCAGGTTATCTACACAAGCTTATTTTGGCAATGGGGGTATGTGCTCCCTTGCTTGCTGTCTTGTTGGTTCAGGTTGTAGAGTGCCCAACTGCCACGCTGGAGGTTGAAGGTTCAAGCCTCAGGTTTCAGAGTAGGCTTCTTACCTCGATCCTGACTTCCAATGTTGTGGTCTGGCTTTGATTCTGAAATCAGGGGTTTCTGCAAAAATATTCTTCACACATTATTGTTGACCAGCTCAATGCAGTTTGGCCAAAGTACCCTGCAAAATATGGCTATAGAAATCCCTCATTACTCTTAACCCTTTAACCCCCAAGATCTGATTGTTAATTCTTCCCTCAAGCTACTATACATTTCCTTGTAAATAAGTCAAAAGAATTTGGTGTTAGATCAAGACTACTAGCACCTACCTGATAAGTTTGAGTATTCTCATTAAATGTTGGCTGGATAATGTGTGGATGTTATAGGGAGAAGTTACATGTTAATCACTTATGGAGTTAATGGGTTAAATATTATTATTCTTATTACCTACACCTTATGAAAGCAGTAGCAAAAGAAGTCCAGGGAGGCTTAGTTCTTTTCATGCATGTCTGTGAAATTGTTGCACTTTTTAGTATGAAATACAAGTAGGTTAGTTTTGTCATATAAAAACATGGGTGTGACACATAAGAAAGTGCACGCCATATCAAGAGGCATCTATCCACTGAGTGTAATTGCCCCTCTGAATTTGGCAGTGGCTTTTTTGTTGTTGTTGTTCCATAGTAATGTTTCTTTTTATTTATTTAATTTTTTCTTTAGACCGGAATAATTCCATACTTTACTGTATCTTTGGTGGATATGCGTGTAAGCCGAGATACTGCCATTGTTCTTCATTACGTGTTTGTATTCCTGTTGCCTCCATATCAAGTATTTGGAGCTTTGTATTACATTGACAGTGTGAGTATAAATACAAATCTTCCTCAAATGTACTAAGAGATTTTCAGCCACAATTTTATCTGATCTCTGGTAAGCTTGATGAAATTTTGGGTATGAAGTTCAGTTCTTTACCTCTATTCTCTCAGTGGATGATGCAAAGGCCTTATTATTGGTCATTGCACTGGATTCCTGCTCAACAGGTCTGGGTTTGAGACCTGAATGGGTCATTGTGTTGTGTTCTTATAAAAAACACTCTAGTTAGTCACTAACTTTCACAGGGCCTCTCCACCCAGGAGTACAAATGGGAACCAGCAAATTGTCTGGGAAGCGTGATGAAATGCTGGCGGGTAACCTAGTGATGGACTGGCATCTCATCTAGAGGGGAGTAGTAATACTCCTAGTTGTTTCATGATAAGGAAACCCAGATAAGCTTGGGCTGCATGGGCTACTTGGCTCACTTGCTAACTTTTCACTCTCTCTGTTATATGCTACCTTTGAAGTAAAGACTTACTTGGTAAAGGGCTTCCTTTATATGTCTCACTATGTTTTACAGGTGTACAGGTATGAGTCCATTATAGCAGCATTTAGAGCTGGTGGTCAATCTGTTGATGTAGAAGTCACTGCAAGCAACTACTTCAAGTGGACCAAATACAATGGCTTCCCAGCCGCATTGATTGCTGTATGTTCTTGCTCAATTCATTCATTACTCAGCCATGTTATTCAAGACATGCACTCTGAGAATCATAATTACCAGACATGCTTTAGAAGGGCCTAAGTACTGTGCTGTGGCCATTGCTCAACTGCATTACCACTACAGCATTGTGCTTTATGTTGAATACTAAAAAGATGCCTTGAGGAGGGATGGGTGTGGTCATATTTATTTCCTGGGCATTCAGATCAGTTGCTGATTTGTGAGGAGGGAGGGGGGTTGAGGGAATTGTTTAAAAAATCATAGAAAATCAAAATATGACTCAATGTCTTTCTTCTGATTTCCAGCCCAGCTGTAATGAATACTTCATAATTTATACAGAATGCATTTTATTACCATCTTAAAAATGGAAACTGAGACTAGCGCTAAGGTGGTACATGTTAAGTACGATTTTAACTGAAACACAACTCAGCCTAAATGTTTACCTAAATGTTGATAATACTTAATTTATTTACAATAAGAAAATTTCCACAGCTGCATTTTTATTTCCCTCCCCCTTTTTTTTGGCCAGGCAGGCCTCTCATTTTCAATTTGGAGCTTTTGGCTGAGGGACTCAAAGTTCTACATAGGGGTCAGGTGAAAGAAAGAGGGATGGCTTAACATTTGAATTTCAGTTACATGCATTTGACATGAAGTTTTGATCATTACGTCTTGCATTGTAATAACTGATGTCTCTTCTATTTTGTCATTTCTCAGCCTGTTTTTCATACCATTCTGTTTTCTGTGCTGATCTATTTCTTGGACCAACATAAAACTGGTGGTGCTGTGAGTTGCAAGTGTTCCAAAAGGTAATAAAGTGTAGCAATTAATATGATAGTTGTTGGCTGTAAAAATGTGTACTTTTGGTAAGAGGTAATATACTCCTTGACAAAAGAGCCCAGCTTGGAGCAAAACTCAGAATTCAATTATTGGATACACTATGAACTGTAGTTTTATGAAAATTCCATGAATTTCATGTGAAAAACCCATGAAGATCATTTCATGGCCCATGAATACTGCAAAATGAAATTTCATGGGGTTATTTTTAGCCATGAATTTTCCATGAATTAGGGGAATTTTTTTCATGACCCATGAATTTCTTCAAAGTCAATTTTTATGACCCATTGATTTGCCATGAAAGTCACCAGAATTAATTTCATGACCCATGAATTTCTTTATATGCCTACTTTCATGACCCATGAATTTCTTCAAAGTCTACTTTCATGACCCATTAGTTTCCCCAGAAAGTCATCAGAATGAATTTCATGCCCATGAATTGCAATCAAACAGTATTTCATGGGCTAACAATTTATTTGTTTTGGGAGAACAAAATTAATGGGCCATGAATATTTCCTGAAATCTGTTGCCCATGAATTTCATTGATGAATCCATAGGCCATTAAAAGTGGTATTAATGAGTTCATCACAGTCACTGATTTATCAACGAGCTGACTTTCATGATCCGTGGAACTGACTTGTTATAAATTTATCCACTGATGGAATTTTGGTGTACAGCGCGAAAACTGTCAAATGAAAATGTCCCTAAACATCTTAAGTGGCCTTTGTTAACATAAAATGTACAGGAAATCACAAAACAATGACTAAAAACAATGGATCTTCAATTTGCTCCTTTGTTGAGACACATGGGGCTGGAGGCAATGACCCAGATGTTTGATCCTCACTTTGATTTTTTGGGGCCTTTTTGCCTTCACCATGCCTGGACGACTTTGTTGAATTTTTTCTGCCTCACTGCTGGCTTTGATTGTTAGCCATGACTCTGGAAAACTGTTCAAGGCCTTCTCTTACATTCTTACGGCTGAGGAATCTTCTAGGGCTTTTCCAGTAAGGCACCTGCAGAGTACAGATGCTTAAGTTGTACAGCAATGGTACACATTGCATCTACACGAAATGTGGAACAAAACAATGAAAAATCAATCACTTTGTCACCTCAATTTGGAACTTTGAATAGTGTGCAAATGTAACCTGAAAAAAATGCTATTTTTACCTCGTTCATAGAGTCGCCGGTTAACAGAGTCAGGCCATCCTCTCAGTCGGGATGAAACGTTACCTTCATGTATTCATTGAGATCGCCTTCTACAACATCGTTGTTGATTTCGTGGTCGCTTTCACAGGAATCACTGTCGATGTCAGCTCTGACTTTCTTGGACTCTGATGTCCTGTCGGTTGTTACTTGCTTCAAATTCCAAATACCGAACAGCTTTTTGTGCTGCTTTATTTTGTAAGATTACAGACGCAGCAACGAAACCTCTTCGGAGTCATTTCGTAACGTCGAACACGATAACCTGTGAGGTCACTATGTGACCGCTGACCTATGATGGCTGCGATGACCTAAGGTCACCACGTGAAAGTACACGTGATTTACGAAGAAGTGGCGGTTTTTTTCGTACCTCGAACGGAATGGTTCCATTCCAATTGCATTTCTCGTAGTGTTTGTGTAGCAGTCTCTTTTTTTCCAGATCAACGCAATGGACCGTCTGAAAAGTTTTTTCAAAGAGGTTTCCTCAAGATGAAGTTATCGATATGCATTACAATGTGAAGGGGTAAGTTCAAGCTTGATCATCTTATTACGCGTAAACATCGGAGCGCGCACGCTAACTATTGATTTAACTTGAAAATTTTTATTCTGTGATCATCTGGCGAAACATCACAAGAGTTTGTATGGAAATACTTACGACCGTTCTTAGGAATAAAAAATACAGTCAAATTCTGAATACGAAATACCTCACCTCACTTCCACAGTGCGTCGCTTAATATCTGACGGCTTTATGTTGAAAAGAACCTGTTTTGGCGAGTTATCCATTTCTAGGTTTACTACGTACATAAGAAAGGCTCTTAGATAACTGATGATGTGCTCCCTTTATTTTGCAAACAGTGAAGAGTGTTGGTCTACAAAACTGATGAAAGGAAATGCAAACTTGCTAAAGCAGCCTATCTTGGTCCAAATGATGATGAAGATGCAAATAGTAATGATAACCGAAAGAAGGATGGCACATTCAGGTGGCCAAAACAGAGACACTGACATAGTCAGCCATAGATATATCTTCACACATGCAAGAGTGCAGAAAGTTGGTAATTGTTTTGTTGTTAGTTACCTTGAGAGTATTGATCACAAGTGTAAAACATATCAAGAAATTTACATGAATGCTGTTACATAAATAGACATAATAACTGTCCATAACATTTTACACATGATTTTAGACGAAGGAAATGATATTTGAAGTTTAGACAAAAATACATCAAACCAGTGAGTATATTTTCAATAATTTCGTCCAAATATTTTTCACATCAAATTTATTTATAATATACCTTCAAAATAGTTTAAATAAACAGAAATATAGGAGCAGAATCTGTCTCCACAAGAAAATCAGTGATATCAAAATAGAGCTAAAAATCATTAACATCTTAATTTTATGCAGAAAATTTTATACCAACTTTTTTTATTTAAGAAAGTGTAAACTGAATTATCACAATTTTAGAATCCTAAAATAATATTTATGTACAGCTGGTGAAACAAAATAAACTATCAGAGAATCCAGACTTCTGGTCATGTCTTTCATGTGTGTGTGCTTGTACAACAGGACCAAGAAGTTTCACAGATAGGTTAGTTCTTCAGTGTATAATTTAAGTGATAGTGTATGTATTACAGTTGTGGTGTACTGCAAGCTATACACTGTAGTACAGTCTTTGGTACAAGAAAAGTGAAGAATTTTTAATTCCAAATTCATAGAGTTTCCAAAGAATTTTCATGGTGCTTGCATATTCCTAACAACCCCATGAAAACTTATGGAGCGTTATTAGGGTCAAATTTAGAAAACAAATTATGTTATGGTGTTTGATATTTCATTTGGCCGAACTACAGAATTATGTTCCAGCGTTGCATGGAATTATGTTCGGCTCTTTTAACTTGTGTTGGGAGTATTTCACTTATAACTAGGCTGGCAGTTTTTTTTGAGTTTATTCCAATTTTGTTTGGCTCCTCCGAATTATGTTCGGAACGCGGCTACTCGAATTATGTTCGGCAAGTAGACTGGTAGCCTCACGATAAGAAATTCACGTGGAGTCCCGGGGCGAGAAACATTTCCCGCGCTCTCTATAATTTATTCTAATTATTACCAGTGTTCGTGTACTGTTCTGTCGAACATGGCGGACAACAAATGTGGAAGAGGAAACCAGAAAAAAAAACCAAGAAAATCGAAACGAATGCAAAAGTGCTAAAGCAATTAAACTTCTACGGGAAGTTACCTCGCTTCTCAGTGAGGGTGATAGCAAACCATATCAACCGGCAGCTGAACAGATTAGTCAAGCAAATGTTTCTCGCCCCGGGACTCCTCGTGAATTTCTTATCGCGAGGCTACCAGTCTACTTGCCGAACATAATTCGAGTAGCCACGTTCCGAACATAATTCGGAGGAGCCGAACAAAATTGGAATAAACTCAAAAAAAACTGCCAGCCTAGTTATAAGTGAAATACTCCCAACACAAGTTAAAAGAGCCGAACATAATTCCATGCAACGCTGGAACATAATTCTGTAGTTCGGCCGAATGAAATATCAAACACCATAACATAATTTGTTTTCTAAATTTGACCCTAATAACGCTCCATAAAAACTAACTGGCAATTAACTTTCATGTGCCATGAAAAAACCATGTAGAGGCCATGAAAATTCAAGGAAAATTTTCATGGTCTATGAATTTTTTACATATTCACAGGATATTCATGGGTCATGATTTGCTGCAACCCATTAAAAACTAGTGAACTTTGACACCATGAAATTTTGGGCTTGAAATTCATGGGTTTCTCAGTACCTTTGAAAAGGCCATGAAATGCCATTTTCATGGGTATTTCATGGCTTCTAGGTCACTTTACTCAATATTTCATGGGTCGTGAATATGGAAATTTTCACAGGTTTTTCATGGGATTTTTCAGGTCTTTTTCATGGCACTGAGACCATGAAAATGTCATTGATTTAACCATGAAAATCCTGTGAAAAATCTGTGAATTTACAATGAATTATTTCACAAGATTTTCATGGGTTTTGAGTTCATAGTGATACCTCTAGGTTCATTAAGAATGCATTTTATTGACCTTTGCCAAGTTGATGCTCTCTTGCCCCCCCCTCCCTTTCCTTTTCTTGTTTGTTGTGGAGTGCTTTAGTCAGAGTTCTGCTTGCCTCTTTAGCATGAATGACAAGAACAACGCGCATGTAGACAGAAGTTTCAGTTACATGCGACTGGAAAGTGAGGAATCAATGGATCCAACCGATGAGGATGTTAGGAGGGAAAAAGAAAAAGTCTCAAACATGGTTTCCATAGAAGACTCCACCTTTTCTGCAATAGTAAAGGTGAGAAAGAGGAAGTTTTCTTTGGAAATGGTAGTGTACCTTATACTCTGATCTTTTCAAAAAGTCCATCCTTTTAAATTTGACCATAAGAGCAAAACAACCAGTCAGAGTTATCCTGCTTTAACCATAAAGCTGCATTTAGACTGGCGAGGTTTTTATACAGCCTTTTTGGCAATTTTACCCTGTAACTCCCAGGGGTAAATAACAATGATGCAACTTCTCCATAAAGTATCCGGCCAACAGGTAATGAGAATTTTCACACTTATCAAGTAGAACTTGTTATCTTGATCTAACACCAAATTCTCATAACTAGTTTACAAGGAAATGCACATGTTACAGCTAAAGAGGAGAATTAACAATCAGATTGTGGAGTGAAAATGTTAACTGATTATAATATTTTGTTAATGTTTTTGGATTAATGTAAGACTCAAGACACTCAGTCAGTTTTGATCTATTATAAAAGTCAGCCGAGAGGTTCTTTTTGAGGCTTCCCCTTATCAGAACAATTACACTACAGAACTAAGAATTGATAGACTTATACTCATTATTATTGATAGTATAATTACTTTTACTGAAAAAGTTAAACCTTTTGGTATTATTTATGTTTGCTTAGGGACTATGGAAGAGATTTGGCTCAGGAAAGAAGGCTAAAACAGTTGTCAAAGATCTGTACTTTGGTGTTGAGCAAGGAGAAGTTTTTGGACTTCTTGGTCCAAATGGAGCTGGCAAGACAACCTCCCTTAACATGGTCACAGCAGACATTCCACCAACAAGAGGAAAGGTAATGTAAGCTACTTGATCTGTGATGTTCTGATGCAAATCTTAAAAGCAAATGTGGTTTGTTTGTTTTTACTTTGACCTTTTTTTGGCTCTTTGTTCCAACCCTCTTGACTAACTGCTTTGATTACTTTTTGCTCTGGTTTTACAACACATTGTAATCCCTGTAAGTGTTTGTAAAGTTTGCTTTCAAATCAGCCCCTTCATATTAAACACTCAGATCCTGTTTTGTCCTTCTTTGTCCCAGGTCTATGTAGCAGGTTATGATGTCAGAAAACAGTCCCATGAGGCATTTCAACACATGGGATTTTGCCCACAGGAAGATGTACTCTGGGCAAAAATAACATTGCAAGAGCACCTTGAGGCTTTTGCCAGGATGCGTGGCAAGCCAAGGGGGGAGGTCAAACGGGTAGTTAAGCAGTGAGTTCATCTTTCTGAGAGACTAAAAGCTCAGGAAAACCTTCATGCCTTATAAGAGTACAACATTTCCCTTCCCTAAGCTATTGGCAAATTTAAGTTAGCCCCCTTTCTTTGAATCAGGGCCAGAAGAGCAAGAATAAATTGTTTGCATCAGTAGGAGTGCTTTCTCATGAATGGGTATCCAGTTACTTCGCCACCAAGCAGACTCGCCACCAGTGAACTCGCCACTAAGGAACGATCTCGCCACCAACGTACTCGCCACCAAGCGAAGTCTTCTCGCCACCAACCACCAATAAAGAGATTAGTCGAGGAGAGTAGGATGTTCGGCTGATAAGTTTGTTTGCTTGTCTGTACTCAAACTTTATAAACGTATGTTGTCGAAAGCACGTTCGAAACCGATAAGTTTGTTTGCTTGTCTGTACTCAAACTTTATAAATGTATGTTGTCGATAGCACGTTCAAAACCGAAGTAAGTTTTTATTCCTTGCATCGAGTTTTGCAATTTCTCCTCGCTTTCGTGCAAAAGACAAACGTGATACGTTTTGATGTCAATGAGTTAGGAACGGAACACATCTAACACGTCGCTGAAGGTCATAATTTAAATACAGACAAGCGCACAAACGTATCGGCCGATTTGAATTGTGCTCGTTCGAACATCCTACTCTCCTCGACTACTTTATTCTAGTTTATCTCTTTATTGGTGGTTGGTGGCGAGAAGACTTTGCTTGGTGGCGAGTACGTTGGTGGCGAGATCGTTCCTTGGTGGCGAGTTCGCTGGTGGCGAGTCTCCCTGGTGGCAAGGTAACTGGTAACCCATGAATGACTGTGGCTTATTGTGTCTATCTCATGCCCAGTACCTGGCATGTCTGCTTTTAGCCATTTTGCAATTGAGTAACAGTTGTTGTATTGTTTAGAAAGAACCAAAACCAGAGCTAGATTTTTTGCTATTTGTGCATTCTTGCAGTAAGCATGGTTTTAAATCTATCTGATAACTGAACTGGCCTCAGGCAAACAGGAAATTGAATGGGGGAAGGATGGTGGATAAAAATATTTGAGTCTAAAATTAAAAGTTTGTCAGGCTTATTCATTCCTTAGCTAATTCAGGTTCTTTTCCTCTAATGACCTAATAAATATTTCCATCTATTTTAGCTATTTGTCTGCTTTAGGGATTACTGAACATGCTAAGAAGAGAACTCAATATCTTTCAGGAGCAACAAAACGAAAGGTCATTGTTTTTTATAAATGTATGTTAGACTAATTTTTGTTCAGGTATATCCTTAATTAAGTGATAGTTTTTTAGTTATTCTAATTTCTGGTAATATAATGTACTGTTGCTCAAAGGAGAAAATGTGTTTGGTACTTCTTGTTGTTATAATGCTGGTTCTGCAAGTGAGAAAGATGAAGCAAATCCCTTCTTCTCTGCTCAATGGATATCAAGAAACAAAGATCGCAGCATTTTTATAGAATGGTAGTAAATTTATACTAATTCTCTCTATCCCTTTTTCTCAAAGGCCAGTTTTGCCATGGCAATGCTGGGGGATCCACAGCTGTTGCTGCTTGATGAGCCTTCCAAAGGCGTGGACCCTTCTGCCAGACGTTGCTTATGGTGAGAAGTTGACTGAACTGTACTAGATCCTTCATGTTTAATCCTTTAACCCCTAAGAGTGACCAGCATCTAATTTCTCCTGAAAATATCACCCCTGAGTCAAACATTAGAGTCACGAGCAAAAAGAAAATGATCAACTAAATAAGTTCTGGAATGGTATACAAATTCTCCTTGTCAACACCTTAAGAAATATGTAGAAAAGTATGGAGAATATGCCTACTGATGTCAGTGGGTAAAGGGTTAATCCTTTACAACCTAACATCAATATGGATATTCTCCATATAGTACATTTCTTAATGTACTGACAAGAAAAATTTGTTTAAAAATTATATCAAGAGCTTCTTTAGCTGGTAATCATGTCTTTTCTTCTTGTGACCTTAACATGTGATTCAGGGGCGGTGTTGAAAGGAAAAATTTAGATAGAAGTCATTCTTAGAGGTCAGAGGGTTGATTGCATGTGTTTAGTTTCTTAAGACAAACCATTTGCTGCACCTGCTTTAGCTTCTGATGTTTTGTGATGTACAACTTTCTGGCAACAACTAGTTTTAGCCCTCAATTCTCACAAAAAATTGTTATATCTAAGTCCAAGTGTTAGTGTCTTTCACTGCTTTGGACGTTTCTGTGAGGCCATATCACCATTGCTAAATACACTCACATAAATGTACAAAGTTATGCAGATGTTTGCTGCATCAAAGCTACTGCTTGTTTTCCTGTCCCATTATCAGGAACACCATCAGCAGGAATGTCCATGGAAAGAGAGGAGCTGTTCTAACAACACATTCCATGGAGGAGGCTGATGCTTTGTGTTCACGAGTTGGAATCATGGTGAAAGGCCAACTCAAGTAAGTTATATTTCAAACAAATGCCTTTTCTTTTATAAGGAAGAGTTGTTGTCCCCTTAACCTTTTTCTTGAATAATAGGTCATTTACAGTTGTGTACGTATAGTTGCTAAGCCTTTGATCTGGAGTGAGGCTGAAAGTAACCTTATTATGATTGAGACCAGTATCTAGTTAGCATAATAACAAAGTAATTTACATTTGAAATGCAGCAAGGTTTGTATCATAACAAGGTCAACCTTAGCCTCACTCCTGCTCAAAGGCTTAGGAACCAAACATGCAACTGTAGAATAGACAATATCTCAACTTCTTGTGTTTTCAGGTGTCTTGGTTCAACACAACATTTAAAGAGTACTTATGGCAGTGGTTACACCTTGGAATTAAAACTGAAGAAAACCCACACCTCAGGTCCATGCCCAGAAGGTTCAATGGAGCAGTTACACAACTATGTCATTGAGCTGCTTCCAGGTGCAACCCAGTCTGAAGTGTTTGGTGGAAGAGTGATATACAAGGTCCCAAAGGAAGGTGTTGGGGCACTATCAGTCATCTTTACTAAACTTTGAAAAAGGTACGGTGTCTATCTTTTAGGATTGATTGGGCCTGATAGCATTCATTAACTTTGTGAAATGGAAGTTGGGTGCCTGGAGTATCAAGAGCCTTCCACTGTGGCAAGAGAGCCCCAGATAAAATATGGCTGCAAAAATTCCCTCAACCTAGCAATAAGTGGCTTTTCCAAGACCTTGCCAATATTAATTGTATCTGAGTGGAGGAACAATCAAGGAAGGGGCAGATTGAGGTGGGGGGACATTTGGAAACAACCATTAAAAATGTGCTTACAACTGCGAAGGACCAAATGCTATGAAACTGCTTAACCTGTAGAGACTAACATCTAATTTCTCCTTACAATTTTACCTCTGAATCTTGCACAAAGGTCACAAGAAAACAGAAATATCAACAACTAAAGGATTTCTTGATTGGTTTAAAAATTATCTTTGTCAGTACCTTACAAAATGAGTAGAGAACAGTATGGAGAATATGTGTACTGGTGTTCAGTTCTAAAGGGCTGAGAACTCAAACAGGCCAGCTGTGACAGAGTTGCAACATTCCTTTTGAGCCTGCACCAAAACCATTGACTGACTACAGTTCATTTTGTTCAGTAAAATGAACAGTGTTGAACAAAAACCCAGAATCAAATTGGACAGGATTAGTCAATCTGCTTTTTTCTTAACATTTTAAGCTGTGCTACAGAAGGGGTTCCAGTCATGTAGCTCTTGGTAGATAGGTTGAACCTCATGATTATGCCACTATAGCTGTGACTTAATGTGTTTGTTCTAAAGCACTTGACAGGGTTAAGGAGAATTAAAAACAATCTCTCTTATTTCCATCTACAAACATTACACTATCGATATTGCTGATCCTAGCAGTATGCAGGATGCATGTTGTAGGAACTTCGTAATAGACCTCGCTCACTGTGGAGTCTCTATGGCTCAGTGGTAGAGCATTGGTGTGCGGAGTCTGAAGGTCTGAGGTTCGATTCCTCATGGGGACTCTGAATTTTTCTGTGTCCCACACTCATGACAAGACGAAAAATATCTTTCTCAACATTATAGCAGTGTTTTAAGTGCAATTTGATGGAATATTGATTCACTAAATTCAGCTGTGTTTATTTTTTTAGCTAAGGAAGAAATTGGGATAGAGGAGTACAGTTTCAGTCAGTCTACACTGGAACAGGTATAAAATGTTTTTTACTCTTTTATGGTCAGCAAATTGCAGCAAATTTTTGTGGAGAGTTGAATACAACCAGGGATTGGTTTTATTTTCCTTTACTCTGCCCTCAGCCTCTATGCATGGTGTGGGAAACTTGCAGTACCTTCTCAACCAATCAGTTGCAAGCAATCAGTTGCAATCAATCAGTTGTGCTAATAGTGCCAGACCCCCAGCTAACCTCTCCCCAACTTATCTCAAATCTTCCTGTGGGCAGAGAACCCTGAACAAGGGCCTATTTGTAGGCCAACCACAACTGTACTGACAGACCTTTACAAGCTGCGCTGTAAATCTCAGTGAAATCAGTATTTTACTCATTTATTTTGATTTCTATTTGCTTTAATTTGAAACAATGGTATCACCACTTGCCTCTGAAATTCATTCAAAATAAAAACAATGCATCACTTTTCAACCCTACTTCATATTGTATTATATGACACTTGTTTCAAGAGGCCATTTTACAGTTGTGTACTTAGTTGCCAAGCCTTTTATTTGGAGTGAGGCTGAAGGTGACCTTGATGTGATAGAGACCAGTATCCAGTTAGCATGATAACAAAGTAATTACCATTTGAAAAGCAGCAAGCTTTGTATCATAACAAGATTACCCTTAGCCTCACTCCTGTTCAAAGGCTTGGCAACCAAGCACACAATTGTGAAATGGTCTATTTATAACTGACCAATCAAACTGCTCACTTTTAACTACAATGATATCCTCAGGTTTTTCTGGAGTTCACAAAAGAACAAGATGATGACAGGACTGGAGCTGAACATAACAGAGAAGAGAATGTACAAAATGGTGGATCCCACCCAGCAGTGTAACCTGAGTGTCATGCATAGGACCTGGGTCACAAGTAGAGCCTTTTTACAGAGCTTCCCTTGGTATTCCAAGTTTGCAGTTTTTAATTCAAGTATATCTTTTCAATGGTATTGTTATAAACTCAACACTCATTTTTCCAATTAAAGACATTAATTGACTAATGGAAACCAAAATAAAAGAGACCTAAACTTAATTACACTTGTCAAAAAAGTATATTTTATAATAATAATCCAAAAAATTAATTTAAAATCAATGATGTCCCATACAAACAAATAATAACTTAAAATCAAATAATTTCCAATGTGACAATTTGTGAAATGACCCTAATGCACCAATTAATTCAAAGCCTCAACATAAATTGCTTAGTATATACAACAAAATGGTATACTCATGACGTGAAAGGATAATTTCATTGCATTCTGCTTTGCATTCTGTCATTTTATAAGTCTTGGTATTGGACAAGAAGTAAAAGAATACCCACAGCTCTTGTTGGAGGGGGGATCAGAGCTCCCTGCACTGCCCCCCTGGATCTGCCATTGATTACTAAAGGAAATTTAAATGTAATCCCATCAGTAGGTAACAATTACACATGTTAAAACAGGATTCTTTTATAGTTGTACTTGTGTGCTATCTTATTTCAAAAAACAATCAAGTAATATTTGAATAAAATCTTTTTATCCACATTTATAAAGACAGACCTGTATGATTGTGTCTAAATAAATCATATTACTGCTGACAAGACAGAGTTCTAAGGTGGTTTTTATTATTTTTTCATATTTTTGAGCAGGTCAGAATTCCCTCCTTTCCCTCTTTGTGGGCCAGTTAAATTACTTTTCCTAATTTCTCGTTGAACACACAATTACTTACAAAAGTTGAGGCAAAGTTTGAATACAACATTTCACTACACATGTGTAATATTTTTCAAATAATTTTGTCTGTCTTATTTAAAGTTCAAGAGAGGTACTCTATCACTTCATTTCTAAGAATGGTTGCCTTGTACAGACATGCAAATAAGAAGTTTTTCCACAGTTGAACCAAATTATTGTAAATACCAATCTAGGCAACATTCAGTCTGTGGTGAGGAGTGAGAGGTCAAATTCTAAGGATGTTTTAAAAAAAATGAGTTGCTTATTTCAAAAACAAGTTCTACAACAACTTGGACAGAGATCTTCCACATCAAGCCAAGTTAGACTCATCAAACACAACTATGATGTAATTCCAACTTCATATTGATTAATACCAACCCTGCATGCAAGTGTACCCACGAGCACCTTCACTTATCTTTTTTTGCTTGGACGTGGGGCATTGTTTTGAAGTTCAGTGTCCTCAGTAATTCTCAGACGGAATGTTCTGTTGTCAGTTTGTATGCCTTGCACAATATTACACCTCAGGACCTTCTCTGCACCCTCTGCCATTTGAATAAGTTCAGCAATTTTGCTGGATCTGTCTCATTTTTGTGCTTTAGAAATTCAGTTCTTATCCTCTGTTTTCCAGCCTCTAAAGCAAAACTGTCATCTCTGAAAACTTTAAGCCGCGTCCTGTGAAGTGACCGGTAGCAAGACAACACCTGGTGTAATGGTGCCAAGAAAAACATTATACTGGTGAGAGGCATTGCAATGACAATTTGCGGCATGATTTCCCAATCCAGGAGATCCCTTGATCCAATCCATATCTATGATGTTACTTTGATCCTTTGACCCATTAGAGTCAGTAACATCTAATTGTTTTTTCTCTTGACAATATCACCCTTAAATCAAACACTAAGGTCGTGAGAGTAAAGGAAATGATCACCAACTAAAGAAGCTCTCGATTGTTAAACATATTCTCCTTGTCAGCACCTTGGGAACTGTATAGAGAATAGTATGGAAAGCATGCATAATGATGTTAGGGTGTAAGGGGTTAAGAAGGGAATCTGAAGTTCAGGAAACGGTGCAAGTCTGCGTTGTTCTGGTTCAGTACAGGGTAAGGGTTACTACTGGGTTTCAATTGCACACCTTCTGGAGATTCCAATATTCTACCATCCTCTCCCCCACCCCCTCACTCCTTGTAAAAAAAATTGTCTGCAAACGATGTGGTTGCAATTCTTTGTCCCATTTTTAGTTCACTTGTCACCATCAAGTTAGAAACGTTCTTTTTTGAATTTAAACAAGAAACATCCTTATCTTTCAAAACCCAGAAAAAGACAGTTCTATTGCTCATTGGATCAAAACTGTCTTAACTATGCCAAATTTGGATTACTGTTCCTACCTTTGATCTTAAACTGCTCATGAGGTTTTCTCAAGTTTTCTCTTTTCGAGTTTTCTCAGAATTTCCTTCCCTCGACCTCACAACATGTTCAAATCGGCCATTTTGAAAAAATTGCGAAAGAGGTCTGGTACGAGATTTAGTCCCAGTCCTTTCCCGGATGGAATCAAGATGGCGGCGGCAGCAAATTCACATGCAAGCAGGCGAAATGCAAGGAAGCAAATTTCTCAGCCGGTTGGTCCTCAGAGATCTGAAAATTTTCCCGGAAAGACATACAACATTTGGTATAATAAGAATGTTGGAGAAAGAGGTCATTTTCGCGAGAAGATTCCAGCTACCACTAGATGCAGTATCACAGAGGACAGTGGAACCACAAAAGGCAGTTCAAGACAGTGGGATGGGACATATATTTGCTTGAAATTTTCGAGAGGATGTTGTCCGTTAGGATATGAGTGTTCCTGGATCCATAATTTACCGTCGGATGAATTTGAATCAACTTTGGACACCACAAAAGACTGCTTCGGTAGAGAAAGACACGAACATGTACGAGACGACCAGAGTGGTGTTGGTTCGTTTTCTGCGGATGAACAAACTGCTAAGACCCTTTATGTCGGTGGAATATCGGTAACTTCCGACCTCCAATCGATTGTTTATAGACACTTCAAAGAGTGGGGAGAGATCGATAACGTTAGGGTGTTACAGTCAAAAGGTGTCGCGTTTGTTCGCTACAAAAACCGCTCCAACGCCGAATTTGCCAAAGAGGCCATGCAAAGTCAAGCTCTCGATAATAAAGAGATTTTGAATATACGGTGGGCCACAGAAGACCCAAACCCGTGGGTTAAGAAGCGTAAAATAGAGAACAGCAAAGAGAGACTTGCTTCTGCGATATTGCAAGACTATGATGGACCGCTCAGACTTCCACATCATGATAATGTTAAGGATAACTCTTTCCCACAGAAACGCCGTAACATTGATCATGACCTTAAAGAGAGTGGAGAGGCAATTGGTTACTATCCAGATACAGATTATCAGTACTATGAGCCAAACACTGGCACAGATATGAAGTATGATGTACATGCAGCTCAGTTGACTGAGACTAATCAAGGATCAGGATACAATACAGTGAGTAAATCACCACCAAAGACACTTTCAGATCTTATTCAGTGGTCAAAACAGCAGGTGTCACTTAACAGAGCAAATGAACTGTCACATTCAAAACATCCAGGGAATGAGACAATTATGGAAAAGAAGGATGAACTAGGAAGCATCTCACTTATTTCTGCATACGATTCTTCTTCAGATGATGACATTGAAGGGAACAGTTAAAAAATTTGAAAAAAAAGTTACTGTTATATTCTACACAATAAAAAATTCCCTATTAAGGTCAACTACCAAAGTTCTTGTCCTTTGATTTTTAAAAGTGCTACTTAAAAATGAAAAATTGGACCTGTCAATCCTTTAACCCCTAAGAGTGACTGACATCTAGTTCTCCTTACAATGTCACCCCTGAATCAAACATTAAGATCGTGTGGATGAAGAAACTGATCACCAACTAGAGAAGTAAACAAATTCTCCTTTCCATCCGGCCCCACAAAATGAAGAGAGAACAGTATGGAGTAAGTGCTTTCATGATCCAATGATCACTTACTTGAGGTCAGTACCATCACCATTCCCAACATAATTTTGATGAGTCTTTTAAGTTCTGAAATTTTTCCTGAATGTGCATGTCAGTAGAACTTGAATTGAGGGAGCTGTTTCTTGCCACAGCCAGGAGCCTGTTAATAGGCTCCTTTCGAAGTGCAGTACAGCCTTTGCTAAATCTGCCAGCTGAGGCCTGGGTGGGCCTTTGCACAATCAAACTGCTTTTTTTCTTTTAATGCTATGTTATTTGAAGGAATATTTGAGCTAAAATCGTGAACCATTCCATACGAAGTATTGGAATATAATCTGAGAAGTATCAGTTACGGACAGAAATCGGGGACATTCAATAAAGGCTTACACAACGGAACAGTCAAACTATCTTGATAGACCAGAATTCTATTCGCACCGTGTTCCAACATGGTGGACGAATGAAACCGAAAGACGCTTTAAAGGCGCTTTCAATTTACTCTAAATAACAGTCCAACATGAAACGTCGTTCGGATGTATCTGAGGCTGCAGCATCAAAGAAAACTCGAAAAGATAGCTCTGTAACACAGAAAAGCTTTGCAGTCCAACCTGTGGAAGCTTTTCGAGGAAGACTTCCTTTTTATCGACAACCAATCGAAGTGGGGCATTTCTCTTTAGACGATCATAGAAGGTTTCACGATGATAAGAGACAATTGAAGTATTTTAGTCCTCCGCGTGATATAAACTTCGACCTCAGGGCTGGGTATGAAGACTTTGTGAAACGGAACGAAGATGTAAAAGAAGGGTTGGAAAACTTGTTGCAGTGGGTACAATGTCACCACGAGAAGTTTGAAATCGTTCAAAGTCCCACGAGCGAGACTCCTCCAGAAGGTAAAACTCAACTCTCCAGGTGAGATTATTTATATTTTAACAAACAAGTGTCTTCCTAGGAAATTTGCAGAGAAGACGTTTTTCTTTCCCATCTGAACCTCCAAGTAGGCTAAGATTCCTACACAGCCTTGTGCTATTGTAAACCGAATAGGTATTCCTAGAGGTAACCTATTGTTTTCGCCATCTGTCTAAGAACTTTATGTGTAATGAAATTTGGAGATATGCGGAAATCGCACCACTCCAAGTAGCCAGGTACGACGGTTTTTTTTTTTTTTGCAAGGGGGTCTACTCTTTTTCCATAAGAGGATTTTATTTTCTTACTGGTGCCAAAAGAAAACTGACCTTTAGGATTCCTCAGGGGGGTGGGTGTAGATAAAAAGCTGAGTATTTAATGTCACCAAGAAGCCAAACTTTACTACTGACTTGGCTTTGGGTGTTAATTTACCAAATATTGTAATTACAAAGAATTTATCAAAAGCAAATTGACCTAGCTTGCTTCATTAACCCTCAAATTATATAATAAATTATCATAGTGTAAGGCAATTTTTTTCTGATCACTGGATGATTTGTGAATCAAATTTCTTTTGGAACACAACAATTTTGCATTTTCAGACCTCAGACTTTCATTCAAGGAACTTGTTTTGGTCGTGATTCAAAATATATTTTTTCCAGTGAAAAGTTTGGTATCTAGGGCATCAGATCAAAACACATCTTCCTATTTTTTCAGCTTACACACAGATTTCATAACATGGAGGGGGCTCTTGACAAAGATAATGTGCACACCCTATGAAACAAGAGAATCTTGGCAAATGGCAGCTGTGCTACACAATGGAACAATCTACATTATGGAGATAGAAACTGAGGAAAACAGGGACAAGCGGGAGAACATGGAAGAAAGACACAAAGAGATGTGCTACTGGGGTCATAACTTTGAAAGCTATGTTACATCCCTGGTAGACAAACGTCATCATAATAAAAATGAGGAAAAAGCCAAGGAAAGCCATGCTATTAATGATAGTGAGGAATTTGTCACTGTAATCAGGGCTAGGCTTAATAAACACTCATTGGTTTTTGGTGCTGAAGTGGACTGCTGCACCAAGGTATATTTTGTTTTAGTGCAGGGTTTTTGTGAAAATGTTAGTACTAAATGCATGATCTGAACTCAGTGTGCTTTCTCAGTAAGCATGTTTGTAACACACCCTCCTGGAGGGGTTGGGGAGGCTTACTCTGCTGGAAAAAATTGAAACCCTCTAAAACATGAATTGCAGCATTCTGGGGCATATTTGAGTACTGGTAATTCTGTTTAGCCAGACTTTTATGTTGAAATCAGTTCAAAAATACTTATTTTCTGTCTTTGCTCACAATTCACCAAGTAGCTCAGGGACCAAATGGTCTGACAGCCAGCAGGTTTCCACTGCCTGCCTACTGGATTCTAATAACAACCCTGTCGATGATATCTTAGTTGTGTAACATACAACCAAGTAAAGAAATAGAGAAAGATGTTTTTACTGTCTTTTTTACAAGCATGGGACGAAGAAAAAATCTGAGTACCCATGAGGAGCCGAACCTCAGACTTTCAGATTCTGTAAAGAAATGATCTTTGCATGTAAGCTCCAATTTGAAAAATTACAGATAGGAAGCCTGAAAAAAAATTAAGGTTTTGACAGAAAGGGAATCTGTGCCTCCCAGATACCAGTTGGGTGCCATTACTAACTTAACTATGAAGCCACATGTTGGGAGGGAGGCAAATTTTAGTGGGTTCTTCATTCTTGCAAAGGAATCTGATCAACCCTTTACACCCTAACATAGCTATTCATATTCTCCATACTTTTCTCTACACATTTCCCAAGGTGCTTACAAGGAGAATTTGTTTAACAATCGAGAGCTTCTTTAGTTGGTGATCATTTCCTTTATTCCTCGGGGATGATATTGTAAGGAGAAATTAGCTACTTATCATTCTTAGGGGTTAAAGGGTTAATAATTACATCACAGCTTAAAATTTAAATTCCATGTTTTCTTGTAGGATAATGAAGAAGCCCCAGCAAATTATATTGAATTGAAAACCTCCTTGAAACCTCACAACCACCACCACCACTACACCTTCAAACGCTTCAAACTGCTCAAGTGGTGGGCAGTCTTATTTGGCTGGTGTGCCAAAAATCATTTGTGGCTACAGGGATCACAGTGGCCATGTGAAAGAATTGCAAACATACAACACTCTGGCCATACCTAGACTTGCACGAGACGAGGAGGATCTCTGGGATTCTTCCATTTGTTTGAACTTTCTGGACAGATTTCTTGACTGGGTGAAGACAGTGGTTATAAAAAGTGGACCAAGGGTGATGTACATGTTCTCCTGGAGAGAGCCATTTGAAGACGTGACAGTTACAGAGAAGTCTGATGAACTGCACTGTGTCCTCCCAGACTGGTATTTGAAAACTTTCACAAATACTGCCTCTCCATAGCTACAGTTGAAATTTTCCCATTTTACTACAGAGCTTCTTTATTCTTCTTTTTAGGATCATTATCATGTGCAGCATACATTTTGTAGTCGCTGATACACTGGATAGAGATTTATTTGTTGGATAGCATTATCTGCCCTTTATGCAACTGGGCCCTAAATTTCAAAACAGGGGGAGGGGAAGGAGCCTTATCAAAAACTTGAACTTCAAAACAGGGGAGGGGGGGCTTATGAGAAACCTGAATTTCAAAACAGGGGGAGAGGTAGGCTTATTAAAAACCTGAATTTCTTAAAGGGAGAGAGGGCTTTACAATAAAAGGGGGGGGGGCATACAAGGTGTTTGTAGTTCACAAAGTTCAAATAGTTATCAATCACAAACAAAGGAGTGTACTCAGAACAAATGAAATTGTTTTTAACCATCCAGTTATTCTGTTTAGTTTTAAATAAGGTAATTATTATTTAAATATGAAAAAACTAGTCATTGTAACATAGTAAAGTTGAGTTAGATTATTTATATTCTTATCGTAGTTATATGGTATTGATCTTCTCAGTATTTTATATAGAGAATAACTGTTAACATTGCCAATTTGTTCCCTATCATTACCACAATAAAAGCTTTAGATGATAAATTTTATTCAGTGTTCATGTATATCCTCATATTTCTTTCCCAATTCTTTTCCTTCTTCTCTTTAGCCACCCTTTCCCTCCTACAAGTCTTTTTCATTGTTCCTCTGTTCTTTTCCTTCTCGGTGATTGATTTTCTCCTCTTCACAGAACTGTGATCATGTGGACCAAAGTGTGTCACTCTTGCTGGTTGACATCCCTTATTACCAAATCCTAATCGATCTCTCTTGAGAACTGTTTTCACTGGGTATTTTCTTCCAACACCAGCTGGGCCTAAACCTGTGATGAACAGAATTTTTAAAAAAATTGGGATCAATATCAGTATCTGGGCAACTGCCCACCTACCCCTCCCCTAACCCAACAACAGTCTATTGATAACAAGTAAGGATTAGTGTCGGTAGGTAGGGTTAATGTTGGGTTAGGGGAGGGGTAGGTGGGAAGTTGCCCAGATACTGATATTGATCCAAAAATTGACTATAAGATTAAATCTTTTTGAGCTGTAACTATTGTTGCTTATCACTGATTTCTGTAGCATGAAGTGACTAGACCTGTGTCTATTTCTCGTGGACAGTTCTCCATGCTACAGCTCTTTTTGTTGTCAGAGAGTAAAGAAAATCTTCATAATTTTAATCCTTTGATCCCTGAGAATGATTAGCTTCTAATTTCTCCTGACAAGATCACCCTGGAATCAAGCATCAAGGGTCACAAGAACAAAGGAAATGATCACCAATCTTAAAATTTGTGTGCAGCAGTGAAGCTGCTACCATTGGCATGCAATAATATAAATTGTTCATCATTTTCCTTTAATAAGCAATTGTGAAAAATTTTGAATTTCCGGTGGTGGTGTGCCAAATGGCAACTTTCAAAAACGTCTTGCTTGGAGCAATGCTGCTTGTCAAGTTGCCACAGTAACAGTAACACAGGTATGTGTTCTAAGTTGTGTTTATGTTAGCATAATTTCCTTGATGAGTTTTGCCTTAAACAATTTTCCTGGCAGTTTAGAAGGGGAAATGACAGTACTTCCTGCCCTTAATTCAGTATGAAACTAGTACTGTGGATTTAAAGAAAACGTGAGAATTAAGTTTACCTCGATCTTCATTCCAGCCAGACTTTAGCATCAATTGATACCCTACATTGCCTTCTGGAATATAATAGAATGTTTTTTGAGGCTTGCGTTGTATATTGAACAAATGCACAGTTGAACCTTCATGTGTACCCTTCAGATCAGTAAACTCTTGTTCGCATACAGAGCACCAAAATTTGGTTTGTGCTGTGATAGCAGAATGCTCTTCATAAGAGGATTTTATGCGTTGGCATTTACGCTGACCACTGTAAGATCTGAGAAGTTCTGCTATGTCATGGTGTCCTGCGATTTTTGCAAGGTCGAAAGCTGTTCTTCCTTGTGAGTCTTCATAAGATCTCCACAAAGCTCCGCTCTCAAGTAAATATTTAACAATGCGAATCTGCCCATTGTGAGATGCACACATCAATCCTGTCCATGAAAATTGGTCACATACATTTATGTCTACGCTATCATTGGAGAGCAGTTCTTGGACTCGTCTTAAATTTCCCTCTTGAGAATTTTTTAAGAAATCGTTTACTAGTCTGTGATCAGAAGTAGAACGAAATTTAGTAGGTATGGATCTGGAGTGACCACTATTCTTTTTGGATTTCAAATCCTTTTCAGATGGTTTTGAGTAGGTTGATTTTGCCAATGACCCATTTCCCTTTTGCCTTGACTTATTCTTTTCCGTTTTGTTATCCTTTGTCGCTAAAACGCTTCCTACATCAGAATTGGATGAAGAAAGAACAACTTCATAAAACGTTCTCGCTTCCTCCCCAGACATACTTCCATGTTCGTGAATTGTTTTTTCCTTGGAATAGGATGTGAATTCTTCAGTTTCTTTCGCTGAAACAAACCTCTGTAAAATATATGGCGAATTACTCATCATTTACGCTAATTTCTCTACACTACAAGGACGAAAAACGAAAGTTTTGTTACTCCTCAAACAAATAGCGTTTCCTTGTAAGCGTCCGCCATCTTATCTGACGTCACACGAACGTCAAACTACTGGTTCCCATGTCGCACTCAGGTCTCCAAACATCTTTGGGGTTTTGCGTGAGCAAGTTGATTGCATTCAAATGCTGTAACTTCGAACAAAGTTAGACAACTATAGGACATTTCACCAAAGCTGAAAGATAGAGGAACAGTCATACATACCGTAGATGGCCTTTGGAGTGAAAATGCGCCGAAATCCAACCGAATCATTTAATATTCCAGAAGATTTATTCGACCATTTCGATTGACTGTAGTAGAACGTCATTGTTTACGCCGTGTCTTCGGCCGCGATTAGATCTTTCTTGGAGTGTATTCAAGGAAATATTTGCGCTAATAGTACGCCTAGATCATGGATAAATTTGTAATTGTTGGAGGATTTTTATGTTTTGCGGCCGATGTCTTCGCCATAGCGTCATTGGCAACTCCTGAGTGGGTAGTGATGGAGTTTGCGGGTAAGTCGCAATACATTTGATTAAAACCTGAATTTATTGTAAAGCGGTGATTATGGGGTTGGAGATCTATTTGCAGAGAGATTTCGTTTAATTTACGTACAAAGTTACGACGTTAATTTCCGAATTGATACCTTTGCGAAAAAAGGAAAATCTGCCTAGTAACCGTATATTGAGGAAAGAAACCTTTGCAAGCTAAGTGGGTTGGTATGTATTGTGAGCGTAGAGAAGTACAACAGGAAACGTGTCGACAGCGTGTGAAACTAGATATAGTGTGTGGAAAGAGAAATCAACGGACAAAACAATTTAGAAAATACGTAGCTGTAGTTTTATGCTCAAGACCTGGAGATTCTTTTTCTCGCAAATAATTGTATGTGACCATTTGAATCAAATTCACTTCAACTGTCATGTTTAATATGAAGCTATTCTTGGGAGTTTACCATTAAAATGCCAATAGGATTAAAATTGCCTTGTACAGACAAGGCTGGCATAATTTGATACTGAATTGTAGAAAATTAATGTTTGTGTTAATTTAATTAAATATTTGAAATTAAAACAATGCAGATTGAAGGAAAAAAAAAAAAAACTGAAGTTTGAATATGAGAGACATTGAGGACCAGTCATTTACACAAGGTCTCACCTCAACCATGGTTTTACGCAATCAGTGGGCCTCAAGCTTTCTCTCTAAGAGGCGTTGATTTAATTAAATAAATGTCCTTCTGCTATTAGCTTTCAGCCAACTTACTATTCACTTATTTTAGATGAATAAATGTTCAGATAAAAGTTTCTGCTAAATTTAGGATTGTGTAGGATGCAGTTTTGTGAAACAATGGCTAAACTTTCTTCAAATGACCAACCCTTACTATGTTCTTTTTAGCAATAGACTTTCTGTTGGTTTACTGGCCTAATTACCCATGTGGGATGTTGGGAGAATACTAGAAAACTTTGTTATCACAAGCCAAAGGCAGTCAATATATACAAAGTTTTGGAGTGTTTTCCCAACTTTCCAAGTGGTTATTATACTAGCCAAATTGATTGAAAGAAAACGCGGCACATTTTAATATTGTATATGTTTACCTGTGCAATTATGCGCTTTATTAATATATATTAGCATTTTTCTTTATCACTTTTTAACCCTTTAACTCCCAAGATCTTATCGTTAATTCTCCCCTCTAGCTGCTACACATTTCCTTGTAAATTAGTTATGAGAATTTGGTGTTAGATCGAGGTAACAACTTCTAACCAAGACATTTGAGTATTCTCATTGCCTGTTTGCTGGGTAGTGCATGGATATTGTAGGGGGGAAAGTTACTTGTTAATCACTTAATGGAGGTAAAGGGTTAGGATCTTCCAACATAAAATACTTAATGCAAACTCTTGTTTAAAAAGAGTTGGTGTTTGCTTTGGTTCATCGCTGGGTTTCAAAAAAAAAAAAGCAATATAGAATTGATTGTTCTATTTTCAGAATATGTTCTAAATCTTCAATCTTCTCTTTTGTTCCAATAAGGTTCTGTTAGACTGGGGTTGACTGTCATGTGTCAGAAATCAGAGGGGCAACCAGAGGTGTGTGTTACCCCTGATTTACCCCAAGAGTGGCTGGCTACTCTATTGTTTATGATTTTGGGTGTGGTAGCTCTGACACTCACTTGCTTTTTGCTACTGGTGTCTCCCTGGAAACCTTCCATTGTGGATGCAGCCAAGTGGATTGTTTTTCTTGGAAGTAAGTATTAAAGATTTGAAGATTGCAACATGAATTTCTGAACTTTGTTGGTACATGCCAGAAGTTGAAGAATAATCTTTGATTTGACAAGTTAAGTTTCATTTTGCTTGTATGTATGCCAAGGTACAAATGACTGGAAGAGTTTTTTTTTTAAATTGGTTGATCTTTTTACCCCTGTGAACGATTATTTTCTTCAAATGATTATAACAAACTTCTCCATTTGCTCTTGTTAATTTACCCTACTGCTACTCATCATTCATAGTAAAAGGTACCAGTCTGTTATAGTTTATTTGCCACTTGTGCAGTAGAAATATTACAGACTGTCATGATGTGTATTTACCCTTTACACTCTAACATCAGTATGTAAGTTCTCCATACTGTTCTCTTTACATTTCCTGTGCTTCTCATAAGGAGAATTTGTTTAACAATCAGGAGCTTCTTGAGCTTGCAATCATTTCCTCAATTCTCATGAACTTAATGTTTGATTCAAGGGTGATACTGTTGGGAGAAATTAGATGCTTAATGTTAGAAAATTTTGCATTAACATGTTCCTTTTCATTTTGTAGTGATAGTGTTCTGTCTGGCAGCCCTCACATTCCCAATGGGATTTCAAATGCCAGAGATTGGTGGAAAACCATACAAGTTACCGCAAGGAACACACGTTGGACCTTCATTTTTTCTTTATATATTTTGTATAGTTTTCACAATTGCTTCTGAACTTTTTATATTCAAAGTTTGTCCACTCTTGCTTAGGTAATGAAGAAAAAATATTACATTTTGGGTGAGAAAAATGCCAACAAATTGCTCAACAATACACAATATTGGAGTAAAAGAGGCCATACATTTAAAGAGATTAAGGATAACTGCACATGTCTATCTGTTGTTATTCTGCACTTTTGCCTTTTAAAAGTAATTTTTTTAAAATAAATTTACTTTAACAATTTAGATAAGACAGGCTTTCTTAATCCTTTAACTCCCAGGATCTGATTGTTAATTCTCTCCTCTAGCTGCTGCAATTTTCTTTGTAAATTATTTATATGAATTTGATGTAAGATCAAGATGACAATATCTACCTGCTAAGCTTGAGTATTCTCAGTATCTGTTTGCTGGATAATTTATGGACATTATCGAGAGAAGTTACTGGTACATGTTTATGACCTCCGGGAGTTAAAGGGTTCACTTATAAAACTCTTGAGTAGTGCTGATAAGTTTGAGTATTCTCATCACCTGTTTGCTGGATCGTGTATGGATATTATATGGAGAAGTTACATGTTAATCACCTCTGGGAGTTAAAGTGTGAAAACTTTTCAGTAGTGCTGAAGTATAAGGCCATCTCAGGAAAATGTCGGGTGTTGTTTCTGATGAATTTTCAAAACAAAAGTTGAACCTTACAGGGCAACACAGATAGTCACCCAGTATGTCTGAACATGCAAAAACATTCTTCAATTTTATTTTTTAGAGTATTATTTATTTAATTTTGCCAAATTCACTGTCGACTTACTTTTACTTAACAGCTGGAAAGAAACACAGTAGCAACAAGTAAATGAACCTCATGCTCTGTTTAGTGATAGTAAATGAAACAAAAGTTTCACTATTACTAGTCCAAGAACATCTAGATGTACATTGAACTCAACTATGAATGTAAAGTTTTCACAGCTGGTACTGTCTTGAGAGGTTAGCATACATAGTTCTAATTTTAGATTTTCAGGGGAAACTCCTATTAAGGAAGCAACCATGGAAACCTTGTTACGTTAAACTGTGTAATAGTAAGAGTGAGAATGTTTCAGTTTGGTTTGGCATCAACCATACTTATCAACATTTAGCCACTGAATTTTCCTATTTCAAATTGGATGTAAGTTAAAGAAGTAATTGAACTTTGTGTTGTGTAAG